GGGTGGGGGGGGGGGTTAAAGCAAGCCAACAGGGTTGGGGAGGGAGGCAATAGGGCAAGCGAGGGACATAATACAAAGAAAAAATTAACATCTCATATTTGCTTCTCGCTCATAAAATTTTACCTCCACCAAAACTCTCCCAGTTCCTTTTTTTTTATTTTAAGTTTGAGCATGATAACTCCCAGCCCCAGCAGCACAGAAACAGGCCCTTCGCCCCCTCTGCACTGTACTGATTAGTGAGCTAGAACCCCCCCCTCTGGCTGACAGTCAACAAGGGTGACTGATTCCAGACTTTTTATTGAATTCAAATTCCACCAAGTGCCGTGGTGGGATTCGAACCCGGGTCCCCTGGGTCTCTGGATTCACAGTCCAGTGACGATACCGCTAGGCCATCGCCTGCCTTTCCATCAGCCAGCAGCTTCCCCGACTTCGAGAGAAGCTGAAGACAGACGCGGGGCAAACCGGGAGGGCATTTTTAAAAAAAAAAAAAATCTTAAATCGATATATTTACCTGTTCCTGGGCTGCAGGAGACTCTGGAGGTACATGAAACTCACCAGCAGACGCTTGATATCTCTCGACCTGACAACAGAGCATGGACAGGGTCAAAGGTTAGAGTAGGTGCCAAACGCAGCTCCTGCATTCCCGGCCAACTGGATAGCTCTTTCTCTGTCGGGAAACGATGCGAGGTCGGAAAAGCAATGGCCAATGTGCCGCAGCAAGATCCCACACGTTCAGGACGTTTCCCCCGATCCCGTGTGCTGGGGTCTAGAATCATGTGGAGGAGGCGCACAGCGGGTGAAGACAGCAGATTTCCCTTTCCCCATTAACGGACTCGGTGGGTTTTTTTCTTACAGCGGTTGCTCAAGACTATTTCACTTCCAGGTTTTATTTGCCCAATCTAGCAGCACAGGTGAGATTTGAACCCACACCCCTCTGAGCATACAGCACAGAAACAGATCCTTCACTCCAACTCTTCCGTGCCAACTGGATATCCGAAATTAATCCAGTCCCATTTGCCAGCATTTGGCCCACATCCGTCCAAACCCTTCCTATTCATGCCCCCACCCAGATGCCTTTTAAATGTTGTACCAGCCTCCACCACTTCCTCTGGCAGCTCGTCCCATACATGCACCGCCCTCTGCGTGAAAAAGTTGCCCCTCAGGTCCCTTCTAAATCTTTCCCCCTCTCACCTTGAACCTGGGAAAATGACCTTCGCTATTCACCCTATCCGTGCCCCTCATGATTTTATATACTTTTGTAAGGTCACCCCTTAGCCTTCAATGCTCCAGGGGAAATAGCCCCAGCCTCTCCTTAGAGCTGAAACTTTCCAACCCCTTTTCTGGGCTCAGATACACTTCGTTCTCACTGCCACGCAAGTCGGACTTATGACGGAGCTGGGGATACACATGCCACTCTTTGAGGACAACTGAAAGCGCTAAACGGTGGACCTTTCCGATCTAAACGAGCTACGGTTCTTCTGGAAACACTCTGAAGTTCAAGTAGTGTTAACCCAACACCCTTTTATACAACACTCAAAGCCAATACCGCAAGACGAGTGAGCGAGAGTCCTTCTGGCATCGTCTTGCTGGCCCGGTCATCCACAACTCCACTTTCCTGGCTTCCTTCCCCCACACACCTCCCCCACCCCACACCCCCACCACCAATCCCTCACTGATTAAAAATCGCACACTGAATGACAGCCCTCTGCGGTAAAGGACTACTCAGATTCAGTCCCCTCGGGGAGAAGAAATTCCCCCTCATCTCTGTCTTGAATGGGCGACCCCCTTATTCCGAGATGATGCCCCTCTGGCTCCTAGACTCTCCCACACAGCGGGGGCAAACACCCTCTCCACATCTCCCCTGTCAATTTCATTCCCCGTAGAATCTTGTATGTTTCAATAAGGTTCGCCTCTCAATCCAACAAGTAAAGGCACTTCATCGGACACCCCCGGGATCAGCCGAGCAAGCCTTCTCGGGACTGCCTCCAGTCTATCTTTCCCTCAAAACGGTTCACGGCATTCCAGCTTGTTTAGTTTTAGCCAAACTTCCCGACCTTTTGGTTTTTTTCTTGGCGCCGAAATAAAGGCCAACGTGCCACTCGGCCTTCCCTGTTACCCGTCCAACTTCGCTCATCACAGCCGTGCTCACGCAACCCAAAATACAGGGCAAGCAGGCAAGGGCCGACCCTTCCGTTTCTGGCTTCTACGTTTCCCTGACCAAACGGGGTCAATTTTGAGATCTGACGATGTCTCAGTCCTCGCAAGGGAGGCTCCTTTTCTTCTTCTCCCCCACTGAAAACACCCCCCTCCCCCCACCAAAAACGCACCCCCTCCCCCCAACCCGGCACATTCGTTCTAGAAAGTTTCACATGCTGGGCAAGTCCTACAGCCAGTTGCTCCTCACCTTTGCCTGTTGACAGAGAGCTTCTTGACATCGGTGCGTCGGATCTGGTGGTAGGCCTTGGCGGCTTTGTCGAAAAGGCGTTTCAGGTTGCCGTAGGCACCTTCAAAGGGCACCTCGGAGTGGATGCTGGTCGTGGGGTGGGGAGGGCAGAGAAAAAGACAAGGTCACGTGACTGCAATTCAGGAGCGACCGGACGCCCCCGCCGACTGAGGTACAGACGCCCCAAAAGCGGCCCGCGCTTTAAAACCGGAGCGCCGTGCGCAATCCCCAGCGTGACCTACCATCTGAGGTAGTAGTAAGTGGCCTCGACATTGTAATGTTTGCTCCCGGCCAGCGTCCCGAGCTGGTTAAAAGGCATGCCTAGAGAGGAGAAACGCAGGGCAGGTGAGAGGAGGACACAAAGCAACGGGAGAGAAAGAGAAAAAAAATACAGAAATGATACAGTCAAGAGGGTGGCCATTTTGCTCGACGACAGCCGCCATCTTGAACTGAAGGGTACATTCTCTGGACTCCGGGGACTGGGTTCACTGTTCACATGCTGCGCTTAACGTATTTGTTTCAAGGCAAGGAACATCTCCCCTTCTCCTCTTCCCCATGCCATCACACCCATCCCGAAACACTGCCTTGGCTCTTCCTGGGGGCAGGCGGGGCGACGGTGGCGGGGGAGCACATTCTAACGGCTGAAGGGCCTACTCCTGCTCCTAGTTTGGATGTTTCCCTGGATGGCTCCGGGGTCGACGCTTTCCGGCGGGAAACAGGAATGGAAACGTCTAGATCTTGCCCCCTTTCACTCCACTGCCGCCTCCCAATCCCACTGGAATTGCCCCAACAACCAACCGACCGTGGAACATACCGCCACTCCAGAAGACACTAGATTCTGAGCTGGTTAAGTCGAAGCTTACGGCCGTTCGGCCCGTCGATCTCGTCCCAGCTCCTAATCTCTCCCAGGCTCACTCCCCCTCCCCTCCACCTCGACGTTATTCCTTTCCCCACCTTGGACAAGCTGGGGGCATCAGGACCAGCACTCAACAACTTCCCACCGCCCACATCGCCCCTTTGACAGCAACACCCCCACCCCCGAACCAATCCGCCAACCCCGTGGTCAATCTGGACACTTCCCAACAGAGGATCGGCAGAGATGCGAGTGGACGGGTACTGGCACCGTGCTCTCTCTTCAGGGATTGGGGGGTGGGGGAGATAAAGAGGGCTCCACTCACCCACTTGCGGCGCGACCGACAGCGACTGGTAGTAGAACCTCTCAGCCAGCTGCTCGGTGTCAACCCCGGCCAGCTCGTTCTGGTATCGCGCTGAAAGAAAAACGCACGCGAGAGTCACGAGAGCCCAACCGGTCCGTGAAAACATGACACGGCCCGCACACAGGCTCGAGCTCACCTCCGTCATCCCCTTCCCTCACAGCTAGGAGGCGACGTCCTCGCCCTGGAGGGCAAGCCTCCACTGTATCACCCAGAGAGGAGTGGGGCGCTCCCTCACTGCTCTCCCCACCCTCAAACGCCCCCAACCAAGCCACTTAATTCCTAACTTTAAAAAAATTTTACTCACAAGATGAAGGCATCACTAGCATTTAGTGCCCACCCTTAATTGCCCAGAGGGCAGTTAAGTGTCAACCAAATTGGCGTGGGATTGGAGTCACGTGTAGGCCACAGCGGGTAAGGCTGGGCAGTTACCTTCTCTGAAAGCCACGAGTGAACCGGATGGATTTTTCCAAAAATCCTGAATGGATTCTTAATCCCAGATATTCACGGAATTCAAATGCCGCCATTTCCCATTGGCAGGATTCGAACCTAGCTTCCCCCCACCCCCAGAGCATGACCTGGCTTTCTGGATTAACAGGCAATAACGCCACTGGGTCGTTGCCACAGCCTGGCAATGCCCCTCTGCATTCGATCTCTCGCCCTCACGGGTCAACAGGGCAGCGTGGAGGCTGGGTACAGAGGGGTAACAGGCCGGCGCCAACACTCACCGAGGTCCCCCAGGTACATCAGGCAACGGTGGCAAGCCATCTGTGCCCATTCCATCTCCTTGGCCGAAGCGGTGACCAGTTTCTTGTGGCCTGTCCAGCGAGTGGGGAGACAGAGAGAGAGGGTGAAAGGGTCAATACAGTGCGGAGCTGGAGGAACACAGTAGATCAGGCAGCGTCAGCGGAGCAGGGAAAGTCGACGTTTCGGGTTTACGCCCTTCATCGGGGCTGGAGAGGGGGGAGGGAGCTCGGAAATAAATGGCAGGGCTGGGGCTGGGGAGAGGTAGACGGGACGGTGATAGAGGAATGCAAGTAAGGACTGGTGGGGATTGGTCAGTGGGATGGGTGGGAAAGATGATTGACAGGTTGTGTCAGGTCAAGGAAGTGGTGGCGGGGTGGGGAAAAGAGCGTTGGTGGTGATGAAACAGAGAGTTGGGCACGGGATGAGGCCGTAGGGATGGGAGATTTGGTGAATTCTACGTTCTTCGGGCCATCAGCTCCCGAGCTGGTACGGGAGGTGTCGCCCCCTCCAGTTCACGTGTCGCATCACTATGATGCACTGGGGTGGGGGGCAGCCCAGAAACCATCATGGCGTCAAGGGAGTGGCAGGGGGGAATCCAAATGGTTGTTAATTGGACCTTGAATCGCCTCCCCGGGGGCGGGGGGAGGGGATCTCCGCTCCGAGAAATGTCAAACCCCCCCACGACCGCGGGCACAGACCGAATCTCAGCGCAGATACCCACCCTCCCTGTCCAAACCAGCTCGCAGCCCCGGTGCCCCCCACCAAACCCCAGCCACGAGCTCTGACCTATCAGAGGGTCGGTGACGTGGGTCCAGTCGATGGAACTGTGCAACTCGAGCTGGTAGTGTGACTGGACATAGAGGAGCAGGTGCTGGTAGAAGCCGATGCCTGCGATCAGGTGGGTGCGGTAGGCACACTCCAGGGCACTCCGACTGTGGATATGCTGCAAGAGAGAGAGACAGAGAGAGAGAGAGAGAGAGGGATCAAGACAGGGAATACCGAGAGCCTGGGTAAAGGGGGAATCCTGGCAGGACTAAGCAGTCTCGTTGAGAAACACTCGCTCACAGTCATTTCAATTGCCCTGCGGAAATGAGGGAGGGACGGAAGGAGGGAGGGGGGGACGGGGGGACAGAGAGAGGGAGGGAGGGACGGACAGAG